AGATTATTCGTTTGTTTCGACGTATTACGTATTTTCTCTGAACATTGGTTCCAGTGGTCAAATTTCCTATCAAACCATAGTATATTCGACAGTTCTCAATTTCTTGCATAACTATGTTACCATGAATGCTCAATATTTATCAGCACTAGCAACCTGTTTAGTCAACCTGTTAACACCTGAAAAAGTGCTTAATAAATCTTCAGTAGGTTATTGACGGCGTTCGACCACACAGCAGTAGCCTTCCTCAAAACACACAACTGTTGTTAGGCAGTGATTGGGATTTTTCGTCATATTCTGAAGCCTACAGGAGGGATTTAAACCGTTTGAAAATTTTTTATATAGTTAGTCTTGCTGCGAGGGAAGGTCTCTGACGTGTTATTTTGGCATCACGCTGTCTGCCTCTTCCGTTCCTAACGGATGGCGACTATGCTGCTGATTAGTAAATTCGTCATCTTCACAGTAGCAGTAGCCGTGCTATTGTGCCCCCATCTGCCAAAAGGAGTGAATCAGGTCCTGATGGCCAACTTTTCACAATCTGCCTCAGTTCCTCAATTGCTTCCTCCTTTCTTATACGGGCTTGAAACTGACAACGTATGTGCATGATCAGGGCGAAAAGCATCGCAAGGTTTGTGACTGTAAATGTTGAAAAAGTACAACGTGTTGATAGAGGTAAGCTGTCCAAGCAGATAGATGCTGCGACTAGTGCAGATCAGTCAAACACACTTTTGAATAACATACACATGGCTGAACAAACATGAATCAAACGTCCTTGTTGTGAACAACTGGAAAGAGCCGTTTACCAATGCACATAAACAAGAGACGGCTAGTCAATAATAACAAATTGACAAGTGCTTGAGGCAGGCATTGAGCTAGAAGGACCCTGACCCTGTTAAGTCATACCCAACCTCACAGACTCTTTCTGTTCTGTTTTAGTTTAAGGTTCAGCAACCTCAAGTCCTTTCTGTAATGCTCTGTCTTCGATCAATTTAGCGATCATAGGGTAACGCCAAGTGAAACCTATGGCTTAAAAGACAAAAGCCAACAATAACAGCATATCATATCATGTCGAGGAGAAAAATAAGGTGAGACTGGTAGTGAAGTTCGCTTGTCAGCGCCATACAGTAGAAACAGATATTAACCATCTTTATAGCTATAAATAATCGAATTATCAGCTCCACATGTGAATGACGAACGGCATATACTCAAAGCAGCAAAGGGGAGAGGGGGAGGGGGTAGTAAAGCCCTTGTCTTGCACAAAAGTTTGGAGCTGCATCCACTGAGGAACATGTTTATTTAAAATGCGCTAGGTTTTAGAAAATTTCTGTCCTTGACTTAACTGCTTCTTTGACAATGGTCAAACAGATATGCTTATAAGCTGCATCAAGCCATGGTGGCATATATTGGCCACA